TAACCAGCAGTGGCTACAGCAAAAACCACATAACGGGGAAAGAAGAGGATAGGCTGGAAGTCCCGGTTGGTTCCTATCTTGGAGGGCCTGAGAGCAACCTATGCAAGAAGTGTGGAGCAGACTATGGATAGGAACCCATGGCTCCTTTATAAGTCAGCCACCACCTGGTGAGGGATGACAAAGCCTCTGGGTTCTGGATTGCACTGTCTTCTGTTCAATTCTCAATTTCCTCTTCTCAATTCCATGACATTAAGAAAGTCATATTCTACTTCTATCTTCTCTTTGTTCTTTTGTGAAATGAGCGAATTGGGCAGAATTTTATACTTTTGATGTATAAAGCTGTTTATGAATTTAGTTGTTGGTCAATGGTAAATATGCTTCAAGAGAAGTATTTTCTTTGTTATTGATAATTTGTCAGACCTTAGAAATAATCAGAAACTTTGGGTTTTTATTTCAATATTCAATCTAGTAATACCATTTACGAAAATGTAAGAAACTGCATGAAATCCAAAAAGTCATTTGAGTTTAGACATATATAAAACAGGGATTCAAGGGTATTATTAGCTTTTTTTTTCAGAGTTACTTATTATAGAGAGAGGGAGGGAGATAATGATGAGAGTGAGAGAGAGAGACAAAGACAGAGAGAATCTTCCATCTTACTCACTCCCATGTGGCTGCAACTGGAATTCGGGCCAGTCTTCAGCTAAAAGCTTCATCCAAATTTCTTATGTGGATAACAGTGGTCTCTGCACTTTAGCTATGTTTCATTGACACCAGGGTCTGTAAGCAGGGAGCTGGACTGGAAGTGGGACAACTGGACAAAAGTTGGTAATTTCAGGAGCTGCTGCTGTGGTTGGTGATAGTTTTATTGGTTATGCCCTAATGTTGATTCCTGTTTATACACACACACACACACACACACACACACATACAAACAAACAGAACCATGATAGACAGTGTAATACAATCAAAAGGACTCTGACGCTGATTGGACATAATTTCAAAAATATTTATTTATTTTTATTGCAAACTCAGATATAAAGAGAGGAGGCGAGACAGAGAGAAAAATCCTCCATCCAATGATTCACTCCTCAAGTGACTGCAATGACCAGTGTTATGCTGATCCGAAGCCAGGAGCCAGACACTTTCACCAGGTCTCCCACACAGGTGCTGGGTCCCAAGGCTTTGGGATGTCCTCAACTGCTTTCCCAGGCCACAAGCAGGGGGCTGGATGGTAAGTGGAGCACTCAGGACTAGAACACACCTATATGGGATCCTGGCACTTACCATGTGAGGATTTAGCCATTAAGCCATTGTGTGGGGCCTTGGATGTCAACTTTAAAACTAACAAGCATGACAAATATTATTTGCTTTAAAGAATGTACATGTCGGGCCCGGCACGGTGGCGCAGTGGTTAAGGTCCTCACCTTGCACTCCCGGGATCCCATATGGGCGCCGGTTCTAGCCCCAGCAGCCCCGCTTCCCTTCCAGCTCCCTGCCTGTGGCCCGGGAAGGCAGTCCAGGATGGCCCAAGGCTTTGGGACCCTGCACCCGCGTGGGAGACCCAGAGGAAGTTCCTGGCTTAGGATCGGCATAGCATTGGCCGTTGTGCTCACTTGGGGAGTGAATCATCGGACGGAAGATCTTCCTCTCTGTCTCTCCTCTCTGTATATCCACCTTTCCAATAAAAAAATAATAAAAATAAATCTTTAAAAAAAAAGAATGTACATGTCACTTTGTTACTTAATGCCAAATTTGATTGTGATTTTAATCTTTCACTTGAGTTTCAATGCATATAGAATTTCTAATGAAGTGGAATGGCACAATTTAAGACAACAAACAATGTTGACCAAGAACTCATCTGGGTGTCAAAAACAACAACAAATAAATGAGACAAGATCCAGGCTGGCATCATAGTGCAGTAATTAGTCATTGGCATTCCACATAAGTGTTGGTTCAAGTCATGACTGCTTTTGTTCTACCCAGCTTGCTGCAAATACACCTTGGAAAGCAAAACACGATGGTCCAAGTGCTTGCATTCCCTGCTACCAATGTGGAACACTCAGATGGAATCATTGCAGCTGTTCAGTGAGTGAATCAGCAGAGGGGATATTCTCTCTCTTACTCTGCCTTATCAAACAAATATTTTATAAAAAAAGACAAAGTGTTCTGTGATCAGCAATGGCAAGAAGGATAGACAACAAACAAATGGAGAAATAAGACCTAGGGTAAAAATTGTTGGAAGGGAGATGGATTGTTGATGTAGCAGGAAATACCTGGGATATCACAGAAGGCTTTTCTGCGGAAGATACTAACTTAGGCAAGATCCGAATCACCGAAAGAGCCAGACACATGGAGTATCAAGGCAAGGTCTCTACAGGAAGGGGAAATAAGAAGTACAAGGGCACAGGGAGGGATTATAGCTCAATATATTTCAGGAATCCAAAGAAACCAGCCCAGAAAGGGCATTGAGAGGTAAGGGGACAGTCGTCAGGATGAAAAAAAAGAATATATGTGTTACTTCACAGCATGGTGCTTAGTGCAACTCCAAAACTCATTCACAATTTCTCCTAGGTTTTGTTGAAACATCCTAGCCTGGTATAGCATATCGTTTATAACATGCAGCATAAAACCACATTCATTCTCTTTTTTCCACCTGGCAGTACTTGGAAAAAAATGGAAAACTCCTGGTTTTCCAGGTTGCCAAGCCTGAAAATGGTCCTTTTAGGATTCAAATCAGGTTTTTTCCTTGCAGAATTAGAGCAGCTTGTCACTTTCCTTACTTACGTAATCCTGGAAGAGTAACAGAGAAGTACTGACCTGTTATCAGAGACCAACAGAAGCATCCTAGCTGGGGATAGAGGTCCTAAGCAGATGGCAATGGAAGAGGTGCTCTGGTATGGCTGACAGGCTATAGCATCAGGGAAGTGGAAGGGAACATTTGCAGGCAGAGAACAGTAGAGTGATTATATATTTTTCTTTGCACAGGGCTCAAAGACTGTTCTTTGCTTTCAAAATATGATTATATGACTTTCTAGCAAATTCATGAATTTCTTTTTTTTTTTTTTAATCTGTGGGCTGAGTGCAACATGGCATTAGGTATCATGTCATTTAAAACAAACTCTGCAATGTGGCAAGTAAGCTGGTATTTACTTGCGGCAGCTTTATTAACCATTCCTGCACTTTGCCCCTCCATTAAGTTAACTGCCAGGTAGAGGCCATTAAAACCCAGCCTTCTTCCTTCAATTACAGCCACACATTAACTCGAGGTATTCGGAGCCTTTGCAATAGAGCCATTTTCATAAGGGACTGGACACGTTCCTTTGGGTCTTGTCCCTCCTCTCTGTTCCCCTCCTAGGGTCCACTCCACTGCTTGGAACTTCTAAGTTCTGAACACGCCTGTCTCGGAGCGTGCTGGGATCTCTGTTTATGATACATCCCCAAACCCAGGCTTCCGTTTGAATGAGAGCCTCGTGACAGAGGCACATCTCACTTCTCTCCTTTCAGAGGAAGCATTTGCTGTTGCTGGGGGCTTCTGACTGATGATGCAGCAGCGAGCGGCGGCTAGGGACAAGGGGCGAGGAAAGGGACTTGGCTGGTACCAGGGGAGCAAATTTAGAGGCGCTTCTCATTGGAGGGGCAGGCATTTCCTGAGCTGCCAGACACTGCGGGCTCAACTGAGGCGCGGAGGTGCAATTCGGGCTGCTGGAGCGGTGGGGGAAGGCAGGGACAGGCGGGGCTAGCGCGGTTCTGCAGCTGATCACACGCACCAGCACACATACCACATTCCCGCCTCCCCTGTTTCGCCTCGCATCCTCCACCCGCGGCCTCCTAAGCGCGCACAAGGAGTGGGGGACCGAGGACCCGGGTGACAGAGGTTTCCACAGTGAGGCGCAGGAAGAGCTGGAGCGGCGCCCGTGCTTCACCTAAAGTCTCACCTGGACCCGAAGGCTCAGAATCTGATCCAGCAAACCCTCTGTTGCCAGGAAGGAAGGCATCGCACCAAGACACCTCAGCGTCCCGCTCCGGAGACAGTTTGTGCTTGGTGGCACGCCAGGGTCTACTGACGAGGACAGCGTGGTGCCCTCGAGGAGGTGCGGAGCTTGGGGGTGGGGGGTTGCGGGGAGACCTGCATTGGCGTCCATCGTGGTACACCAGGAAAAGTGGGAAGGAGGAAAACAGCGAGGAGCACAGAGTGCAAGGCCGGGCAGCCTTTGCCGCCCTCTGCCCTCTTCACCTGGGTGAGTGCCCCCTCTCCGTGCACTGCCGCGACTTGCCCGAGCGCGGGGGTGGCTTGGGGGCCTCGGAGGCTCGGCCATAGGGCCCCCGCTGCTGGCGCCCGTGGAAAGTCGGCGGCCTTCGCATCCCAGCTGGACAGGTCGCTGGAGTCCGGAGCGGGGGACTCTGAGCCAGGAGAGCGTGGGTAGGGGGCGTTGCACCAGTGCCCGGGCGACATGCCTTTGGGCAGGATTTTGGCGAAAGGATAGGAGGTGGGAGCCCCAGTGGGGAGCCAAGAGGTTGTCCCGGGGAGGGGGAGGGAGATAGTGGAGTGGTGGGGAAGAGGGGGGTGGGTCTGACCCCCGGCAGGTAAAGCGCAGCCTTGGCAGCCTGACGAGTTGGCCGGTGGGGTGGGACTCACTTGTCAACTCATTAATTTTAAGTAGTCAGTTTGCAGGGTAGTCAGGAGGGCGGCGGAAAGGCAGGAGGTGGCCCGGGATGCCAGCAGTGGGGAAAGCGAAGAGGAGCCTCGCAAAGCTTGGAGGCAAAATTACGCTTGGGTTCCTGAACCGTGCACCATCCGTCCGGCCCTGAGTGCGGACGAACACTTTTTTTTTTTTTTTTTTCTTTTTGTGAGCCTCTGCGTGGGAAAAGCGAGCCTCGGTCCCAGGGGAAAAGGAGAGCGGCGTCGGCAGGGGGCAGAGACCTCGGCTACCTGCCGGCTGCGACCCCCCGCCCCCACCTCCCTATTGGTGCTGGCTCTCCGCGCACGGCTCCTGCGCCTTCGCTTCGCGTGTGAATCTGGCTGTCCCCTCCGTATTATGTCTGCAATCCGAAGGAAATTTGGGGACGACTACCAGGTAGTGACCACCTCGTCCAGCGGCTCGGGCTTGCAGCCCCAGGGGCCGGGCCAGGGCCCGCAGCAGCAACTTGTGCCCAAAAAGAAGCGGCAGCGGTTCGTGGACAAGAACGGCCGGTGCAATGTCCAGCACGGTAACCTGGGCAGCGAGACAAGCCGCTACCTCTCGGACCTCTTCACCACCCTGGTGGACCTCAAGTGGCGCTGGAACCTTTTTATCTTCATCCTCACCTACACCGTGGCCTGGCTCTTCATGGCCTCCATGTGGTGGGTGATCGCTTACACCCGGGGCGACCTGAACAAAGCCCACGTCGGCAACTACACGCCCTGTGTGGCCAACGTCTATAACTTCCCCTCTGCTTTCCTCTTCTTCATCGAGACCGAGGCCACCATCGGCTATGGCTACCGGTACATCACCGACAAGTGCCCCGAGGGCATCATCCTCTTCCTCTTCCAGTCAATCCTGGGCTCCATCGTGGACGCCTTTCTTATTGGCTGCATGTTCATCAAGATGTCCCAACCCAAGAAGCGCGCCGAGACCCTCATGTTCAGCGAACACGCGGTGATCTCCATGAGGGACGGGAAACTCACGCTCATGTTCCGGGTGGGCAATTTGCGCAACAGCCACATGGTCTCGGCGCAGATCCGCTGCAAGCTGCTCAAAGTAAGTGCTCCCCGCCCCTGCCCCGACAGGCCGCCCCCTCCCTCACTGCCGCCGGGAGGCGAAGGCGCCCCAGAACCTCGCCGGATCTTACCGGGCAGGGCAAGTAAACTTCCATTCGCTGGCTGGTTGATGGGTGTGGAGGAAGCAGGGATTCCAACCGCACCGTGCACCTTCCCCCTCCCACAAAGTCTAGTTCCAAGTTATCATTTCAGAGGTGCTGCTATCACTTTGGGGGCTAGTAACACCTAGGGAGGTGTGTTGGCTGCTGGAGTCTTGGCGGAAATTAGTAAATGAGTGCCCTGCTCTCCTTTCTGCCCTGGCTCTTTTGCTGTGTTGATTTGTTATCCGCACAGGACTGCTGTGAACCTGAGGAGTTAGACCTGAACTGCTTCTATGTGGAAAAAAGCTAGGTGTTGAACTTACCCCAACTTTTCCCCTGACCCTCGTCTTTCCTGTGTATGTTCATTCTTTTTGCACGCTAATGATATTAGCTGGTGGATAATTCTTCTAGACTCAGTCATTTTAATTCTGTCTGTGGTCATCTTTTTTCAAAAGTATACAGCAGAAAAATGTCACCTGGTTCTTTTAAATTTTATTTTTACCAAACATTTTCCTAGAGATGTATTCCGTGAAAGCTTGAGTGCTTTTCCTGCAGTGCCTCTTGTTAATTTTTTCTTAATTGCTTGATTTTATGAAGCCTTTGTCAATTGCACATTTTACTTGAAGCTTTTCAGCATCCATTAAAGATGATTTCCTACCATCCATGGTGTAAATGCTAGAACAAAGTGCATATGCATGATTATTGTGAGGTTCATCTAGTCGTTAGAGGGCACCACGGCAAACCAGAGAAATCCTCCTTAATCCAGTTAAGAGTCTGGCAATAAGGTATCACAGCCTAATTGTGTAACCTTGTCATTTGCAACATCTATCATCTATTTATTTATCTATTTATCTATCTATCTATCTATCATCTATCTATCTTGTACTTATAATACACACACATATGTAGTCTTTTTTTATGACTGTCTTAGGTTTTGAATGATTTTAAATTAAAGTAGCTGACTTCAAATAAGTCGTTCATAAATTAAAAAGCTTTACGTGAGATTGCCTGGAGAAACAAAGCTTGAAACCTTATTGTTGATAACATGAAGATATGGTAACTATTTGAGATTTTGTTTTTGAGGATTAAGTTTCTAAACAGGTGTGCGTTGTTATACACAGACTCAATTTGCCTTCTAGTTGGAAGTGATATACTGCACTTTTGAAAAGTTTTGCTCTTGTGTCATTACCATTAGTCTCTTACAAGATCTTAGGTTAATTATTCTTGACAAAGTTTTTCAGGGAAAGTGTTTGCATCAGAGCAGTTTCCTTGTCCTTTCACTACACATGAATTGCATATTCACTATGTATATACAGTACAAATTAGGAAAAATTAGGATAACAATGAATACATTATGTGAGTAGATTCCAAGCTTTTACAATCAACTTTGATGAAGAGCATGCAATTAAACTTAACCTGTTGTGTTGAATATTGTTTGAAATAATCAGGCTGTTGAATCGGCTGAGGAGGGTGGTTGTGGACATGTTTATTGCATGCTTCTTGCTGTAAGTACCTGTTTATATACATCGGTCAAGATGTGTCATCTCTATAGATTCCATCTAGTGCGTGTATGGGAATATTTTATTTGATAATGCAGTCATGTTCTCTGTCAAGGTGGCCAGACTCTGACACTCTTAATTGACAAGTTGTTTACCACATGGATTGGTCTAGTGAAAACTGGAAATTAGATTTTAAGCGTTATTTATCATCATTTTCCGGTTTTTTCAATCATGTGTCTGCTTATTTATCCTTTCTATCAAGGAAATCTAAGATTTTTTGAACTACATTTAATCTTACTTTAACAAAACAGAATTAACTGCAAATGAGTTTAAGTATCTATTTCTTTCTATCCCCATCTACCATCTGATGTGTTTGCCCATCTACCTCTATTAAGATATGGAAAATAAGCCTCTGCAGTGTGATAAAGAAATTATTACACTGGACAGTATATCACATATAGCATAAGAAGTTTCCTGCTTAAAATAATGATTTATAGTTTAGACAATTTTGAAGCAAGGTGCTATATTAACACAAGGTGATAAAACAACACTTAAATAAATATTCCCATACAGTTGTTTAAATGTTGATTTGTTAAGATGTAAGTACTAGAAATAAAAATGGCTGATGCATAGCATCAGTTGATATTTAAGCAAACTTATGGTGACAATCCCCCCTGGTCCTTGTGAAAGCAGGGAGTGATCAGTGGCCTTTCTTCAGACATATATATATATAAATATCTATAAATATAAATATATGTATACATATAAATATATGCATATGTACATATATAAATATATGTGTATATATATATTTGCGGTATCTTTGGTAATTGAAATTGTTCTAGTAGTTCATATCATTTCCTTCGACTTCATTAAAGAAGAGCCATATTTTATTGTTGAGCTAATAGCATGAGCTAATAGCATTTGGCAAAATTAGAAGGGAGATTTACCTTTAACAAGTTGATCTCATTTTCTCCTAGGAACTGAGATGAAGTGACCTAAAACAGTCAGCTGTATTTTTTGAAACAAAGATATAGTACAAGCTTTAAAATAATAATATTTCATTGTCAGATTTTTGGATTTTTATTACAACTGCTCAGTTTCCTGTTTTAACTTCTGTTTAATATTTCAGATAAACACATCCTTAGCTAGAGAACATGTAGATGTTAAGGCAACAAAAAGCAGTGTAACGATTACTAACAGTAACTGTAGCTTGAATCCGTGTTTCCTGTTACTCAATTTAAGTTACTAATGCTTTTCTCTTATTCCTTACAATTTGTTGAAGAAAGTTTTTATCGTTCCAAATGTCAGTTTTATTTGTAATTTTAAAGCATTATTCTTTAAACATTAAATAACAATGCTTTATGAAGATCACATAAAATTTTACCACTAACAAAACTGGATGAAAGACATTAAGCACATGCCTAAGGCTTATGCTTGCTACCATGATAGTGTTTGTAATTATTTTAAATTTCCTAACCTCTTAAAACTTCTCTGCCTATTTTTTTTTATGATGATCTTCCTCTATGTCAATTTTGCTTACGTTTTATTTCAACCCTATTCTTGAATTCATAGCTTGGAAACAGAAAAATTTTCTTGCCATCATCAAATTCAGATCCTACACATTTTTGCCTGGATGGCTAAACTCTAGTTCAAATCAGAAGGAAAGAAAGTAGATTAAATAAAAATCCAAGGACTTAAAGTTCAAAAATTTGTATATTCTTACTAAACATAGCTTTAGGAAGCTCACTTAAGATAAGTATTTCCTTTTCACGTTTTTTTTTTTATTGAAAATCAGTTTCTTTATATGTACATACTTTTACATATATAACTTTATAAGTATATATATATATAATTGTCTTGAATATAGGAATTATTTTATATGATAGCTAAACTAAGTTAATATTATCCTTCAGAAATTTGATTAAAATGTTTTTGTAAGGGTGTTGAGCCCAGTGGTTGAATTGCTAGGTACTTTAACTTAGTTTTCTGTTTAAAGAATTTGAGAATTTTACTTCTTTCAACCAAACTTATACGTAGGATTGGCTGTCCTGTACATGAGCATTAACAAAATTTTGATATATTGTGTGAGGATTTTTTAATTTATATGTGAAATCATTTACAGATGTATATGTGTTTGTATATGTATGTGGTTATGTAAGTACAGGTGTCCAAACCTTTTACAATATGATTTAAAAATATAACCAACCACTGATGTGTTAGTATTTTGAAACAGAGATAGGCTAACTTTTTCCCTGAGAAGTATGATATTATGCAGTTATATTTCTATTCACTGCTATAATCATCTTTCTTTCCTAGGAGGTCATGTCTGCAATGCTTTTATTTGTTGAAAGATAATGGAGCACATTCCTTTTCACTCCTGTCTTCTCAAGTTTGACATTCATACATACCCTTTTCCATTCTCCATTCAACATTGAGTGCGACCATGATGAAGTAGAGATGTAGTAAAATTATCTGCAAAAATATTAACTTTTTATACTTTTCATATGTTTTCATGTTTTGTTAGTTTTTTAATAGTAACAATATTTGGACCTCAAGATTAATAATTTTCTGACATGCATTTATTAATTTCCTTTCATTCCATATTCTCACCTGCATCCTTCTGTGTTTTCTAGTTAATAGTAGAGCATTAATTTATTTGGAATAACTGACTTTTTTTTAACTTTGGCTAGTGTGATCTTTGTTTTTAAGTTTGAGAAAATTATCTCATTAGAAAAAAAATGTGTGTGTGTGTGTGTGTGTGTGTGTGTGTGTGTGTGTGTGTGTGCCTGTATTTGAACATCATTCAAGCTGCTATTAACAATATTTCAGGAATCTAAGACTGAAGACCAACAGATTTCACAGGCTAGGTCTTCAATTGGTTGGTCATGTTTAAGTGGATTCATTCTTCCTAAAATAAGAAAAAGAATAATAATAGTACAATTCCTATATAGTCTAGCTTAGCATTCTCTGACTCAGGTAGAATTGAATAGTTTTCCAGTAAGTTTAGAATTTTTGTTCTTTATAAAATCTAATAATAGTTTTTTTCAAGAGTAGCAGTAGGCTTGGTTGTGTGTGTGTGTTTGTGAGTGTTTTAACATGGATCCTGAAAAGTACAGGGTGCTTGTACTCAGAGAATGGTATCAACCGACATAAGGTACATAAAGAGCCATAGAAAAACAGCAGTAGGTAAGGACAAAAGATACAAAGAAACAGAAAAAAGCATTAGCTGGCTCTGAAGGTGTTTAGAAGCAGAATATGCAAGCATGGTTACAAATCCTATTCATAGTTATAAATTCCACATAAGGCTCCCAAAGAATTATAATTTTACCCTTTTATTTTAGTTATATAAAGGCTTCACACAATCTATTATAAGGTAAATTATATTTAGATCTGCTGTA